GGAGACTATTAGCGAGGTGAATACACAGTTCAAGAACCCCGATATGACCACCTTCGTGTGTGTCTGCATCGCCGAATTCCTGTCACTGTACGAGACCGAGCGTATGATCCAGGAACTCACGAGCTACGGTATCGATACCCATGCCATCGTGGTCAACCAGCTTCTGTTCCCCAAGGAAGGAAGTGGATGCGAGCAGTGCAATGCTCGCAGGAAGATGCAGAAGAAGTACCTTGAGCAAATCGAGGAGCTTTACGATGATTTCAACGTTGTCCGGATGCCATTACTGGTTGAGGAGGTTAGAGGAAAGGAGAAGCTGGAAAAGTCAGTCCTCAATCCAATGCTCGTTGAAAACATGACTAACGATGTCTACAGGTTCAGCGAGATGCTCGTGCACCCTTACATTCCTCCCCAATAGACTGCCCTAAACATGTTGTATCCATATGAGAGCCATAAGAGATATAGTCGGGACGAGTTACGAAATGAATAGACCCTAATGATTTGAGATCATACTGCGTTCTATGCTCAGGTTCACCCTCGTATTCAGTCTGCTGGTTCTGACTCGAATGGTCTAACCGTAGAATCTTGTGCTTTCTCGTTTTACTTTGCTCTTGTCTCAGTTGACACACATGGGTGTGGCTGCTTCTTTTGAGTGATTCGCCACAGCGCCTCACTTTCAGAGTCTCCGAAAGATCGGCGAGGGTACCCGTGTATTCACGTAATGTCACAAAGGATCTCAAAGCCTCGAGCAAGCTCTTGTTGGCACTTGAAGCCTTGTTCATGCTGTTTGAGATTTATCTGAAGGCGAATAAGCTGGCAGCTCGAAACAAGCCCTACTACCTAACACACACCAAATCTAAACAGCCCTCCTATTCTAAGGGTTGCCGCGTTAAATGTCAGGTGCAGGCATTATGTGGTTCTACGTCCATTGAATATCAAGAATGCTTGGAGTCAAGTGAATTCTGTTGCTTTGACGAATGCACGCCTCAACTTCGCTTCATATCAACTTGAAGAGCCATTGGATTAGTGCAGGACGTAAGTCACTTTACATGAAAGTGTCTTGAAATGATAGACTGTCCTATGTGTGTGAATTCTTATGAGGATGATGAATGGAATTAGCATAGTCACCCAAAGCGTCTGGACGTGATGAAGCTCAACAGATCAGCAGGTGTCGGGTGCAAGCTGAATTGCTTATTCCAGTTGAGTGAGGCGAGTGATAGGTTGTGTAGTATCGACACTCCAACCAATTTGGATATGAATCAGAAGACAGAATGCCTTTGTCGGCTGGACTACAGCACTTCGCCTTGATACCTGAATAGCGCAAGGTGTTCAGTACTTCCAGCCTTGATGTTGTAAACCAGGCCGGAGCCTCTGGTTCGTTCAATGGGCCACTTGGTAATCCAGTTGCAAGGATCTCGAAAGCAGGATCGTCCTCGGTGTGTGAACCAAATATGGGCCCTGTTCCAGTAGTATCAGGCAGTTCACTGGTCCGTCGTGCGTGGGGTTGCTTGAAGATCAAGGTCTCGAACTCTCCAGAGCAAGTGAAACAGCCTCATCGGAGATTGTATGACTACAATCTGCCTTGGGCTTACACGGCCTGAAAAACGCACACTGGATTCACTTTCTTTGAACTCCACGAAAGAGGCCATCACTCTCTTCTTTCGGTCGAAGTTGAAATCGTAGTCAAAGGTTACCCTCGGTACAAGCCGTGATCGTCAGGGCAAGTCTGGGAAGACATTTATAGAAATAGCTGCCTTGGCTGCCATGGTGGGTATGTGCAAGGTCTATGCCGAGCCATTCAGGAAGCACTTGAACACACAATATCAGTTAAAGGCAAGTCTAGAAGCAGCAATGACACTGTGATAGTGTGGCGTACTGGAACTGGTCCGAAATGAAGTCGTTGGCCATGCGTCCCAACGGCCACGGTATACAATGGTTGGCTGGTCGCTCTCCGGCCACATTGGTGGGTTAGTAGCTGCATCTACGCAAGAAGTAGCCAGACGAAATCAGCCGACGGGCTCTTTCCATGTACCTAGCTGGGTGGAGATCACCAAGACCCAGCGGAATGACTTGTAACGTTCTCCTTCAGACCGTTTCATAGGCCGCAAGGGCGGATCCTTGTTGGATACATTGCATCGATGAGCGCTTAGGAATGGACTGGCAAAGAGATGGACCCTCGTACGAGAAGTCACCGAATTCAAATCATTATTGTTTTGTTTTGTTGCTGAAGGGTCTCGGATCGTTTCTGCAGATTCTTCTTGAGAACGAAACCTAGGAGGTCCGTTTGCAAGTTGGAGCCATCGATAAATATGAGTTGCGGGGGACACTGCATGGAAGACGGCGAGCATCGCTTCCTGAATCGGCCTTGTGCATACAATGCAGTGTTCTTCCTCTCGGTTCTGGATCAATATAGTTGTTGGCAACTGGTCCACGCGTTCTCGGACTCGGCATGTCTAGACCTTAGTTTCCTACTGTCGGTGTCAGTTGTGAGAGTGAAGTTCCTCCTAAAAATCCTGCTGCTGCATTGATTTGTCTAACATGCACTGGCTCTTTTCGCAGATACAAGAAATGGGTCGAGCGTGGCATTGCTCTCATGTCTGCGTGTACAAACAGATCCACTGCGCATAGATAATAGCTCTCGCATCTCTCAACGATGATCAGTGGGACCCGCCTGTTTACGGCCAGCTCTGATCTCAATATACGTTTAAACTCGGAATACTAAGCGCCATCATTGAGCTGGGGACAGTTAGAAGAAGGTTTCGGAATGTTATGATAAATATTCTACTACCTGGACTAGTCCTAGGATGTCAGCGCATGGAGCCACGACAACATCCTAACAGACCAATTTGGTGCCGCATGTTCACCGCAATCTAGTCCAAGGATCTTGAAATTGAGACGCACGATTAAGGAATAGGATCTGGCCCTGGGCGCAGCGGCCTAGGAGCGCATGGCATGGGTGCAGCTGGCTTCGATTTGCGAACGGTATTAGTCTTCGTCAAAGTCAAGCCTCACTTTTGTTTTACCAGTGCGAAAAGGGGTTGAATCTCGTCCTCTCAAAGAGTGAGGCGGTCCGTCCGGGATCCGATGAGCACAATGAGCCAAATTGGCTTTCCAGCCATCTTATCACTCTGCTCATGACGGATACTCCTTTGAGGTTCTGGACTACTGTAAGTGTGATCTCGTCTGGAAGATTCTATAGTGGTTGCACATGGGAATGCTGATCAGCTTCACTAGGCGAGTATGATTGTATTGCAGCTGAGCATCTCGAACTTCAATCAATTCCTTCGGACTCACGCAGACGATCTTCGTATTTATCTCGCCGTTATCCCTTACATGAGTAGAGTCGGTCTGGGGCTATATATACACACGTCGTCCATTCATGTACCTGTTCCGTGCCATCATCACCTTTCCTAAACAGCCATCCTACACGAGCATCCAATCAAGCTTGTATACCTCGAAGCGTTCAATCTAGAAGGACAAAACACTTTCGAAGATGTCGCAAGTCCAGCAATATTGGCTACCAGGCTATGGTCTCTCAAGACATATTGTGCTGGGCCATATCCAGTATTTCCTTGGACCATCGGCAACTGTCAGACCTTATACTTACCAGGTAAACGATTACTTTGTTGGCGAACATGATAAATGGGAAGATTATGCCTAACCCGCGAGCTTGATACAAACAGGGGCGCGACGGCTATCTCATCAATGGTGTGCCTTTGACGCGGGTCTCTGCTCCCTTCTGGCATTGCTTTCCTACTGCCCTGCCGCTAACAGGATCCCACAGGAACAAATCAATGATCTGGCCATCATGTCACGAGAGTACGAACGGCAGGAATCCCTTCGAATGACGGGAGATATCCTTGCACCCAGTTCCTGCAGGGAGTCAGAGCCTTATATCAACGAGATAGTACCGGTGCGCACCTTTGGTTATCGCAGGCAGCCTGTTGATCACGGAGGGCGGCGTGGGCGATGATTCTGAATCATTCGATTGACAATAGACTTCCACCGGTTTAGAGCCAGTGATACCTTCGAGCGTATTCGTTTGATTGTCTCCTGGCTTTTGCTTTTCACAATATACCCCACGAGCGCGCCAGTCCATTTTCACCTACTATCTCCTCTTAATCAAGACCGGCATTTTCCTACAAGCGTTATTCCGCATCCGTCTTTTGTTCGAACAACTCTTGGGATTCGAAATCGGGCCATATATTAACTACTGGTCTCGACTACAATTCATTTTTCGGGTTGCTTTGGCTTGATGTGGATCGCCTTCTTTCGTCCTAGAGACGTACTCCAATGGCCTCTTCCTTTCTACAAATACATGAGAACATCCCTCTTCAAAGGCAGTCTCATTCTTCACCGTCACTTGGGCCGTCCAGCCAGCTGATGTGGCCATAGGCAATGAATGAATACAGGAATGACTTGAGGTAACCGGAAGGTTGATACTGAATTTCACTCATCTGTCTATAGACCATTCGTAACAGCATATATCAATGGATCAGTCAACATAGCACAAGCTCTGAGACCATGCGAAACAATATGACCCTCATCAATCGTTACAATCGGTCATTCGCCCGGCTCTGAAGTAAGATCCCAGTCCCGGAACACGGACTCGAGCTGGCTTCCCTTGCGGTTCTTCCCTCGCTTCTAGACCCTTAAAAATGTCAAAGATTCAATCAATGGCCACTCGTTTTCTTTTCTCACCATCACAGAAACACAAAGAGAGTCAAGCAGGAGGCCCAAGAGAGATATCTGAAACTGACAACATAAAATAGAAAGGAGGAGGAATTACGGGGAACATGAAAAGTGGACCACCTGAACGCCAGCCTGATGCCACTCTGCTTGGTCCCATCACACGAGAAACCCACAGATCGTGGGAACTTTTAACATGAACAGAACCATTCGGAGGAAGGAAAAAGGATGAATTTTGTTTTCGGGTCGTAAATCGAATTCTTTACTTTATTTCGCAACAGCCGAGCTGTGAGAGAATGAAAATTAGTAATTTGTCAGTGTTGTGGATACAATAAGCGGACGAACCTCAGCACTTGTGTCCGGAAGAAAGCACCCTTGGTCCTCTCGATGACCTGCTGGTACACAGACTGGGGAGGGTGATTCATGATCACGGTGCCTTCCTTGTAGTCGATCTTGGCATCAACACGTGTGTCGCGGATCAAGTTGACAATCCACTTCTCGCCCTCATCCTGGTTCAGACCGAGACGGGTGGAAAGATCCCTAGTTTCCAATGTCAGTTGTCCGCCGTCTGGTCATTCAAATTTAAGATACTGTTACATACTTGATATCAATCCGCTGGTGGATCTTGCAATAGCTCTCGGAGATGAGGTGCCGGGCAGCCTCGACAAAGGCATCAGCGGTGGAAACAAGGAAGAAGTCACTCCGGAGCACATCCTCGGCCTCGCCCAGCTTCTTCTGAGCCTCTTCGAAATCGAAATCAACGTAGAGAGCCTTGACGAAGTCGGTGATAGGGTCGTTGTACTCATAACCCTCCTGGCGCACCACACGGACCAAGTCCTTCAATTGCTTCTGGTATACACTGCTGCTCTTGTGTGCGCGGTTACGGTTGGTGATAACTGCCGCGGCAAGGTACCGCAGGATCCAGGGGCAGTTGGTCTGGATGGTGTTGATGTAGGCGGGGGAGAAGAAGAGATCGGTCAGGACATCGCGAGCGGGATCGTGGTTGAAGAAGGGGAAAAGAGACCAGTGAATCAGCCAGGAGCGGTTCTGGAGCTGACCCAGAGGGTTGTTGAATAGACGGGTCTCAATCGAATCTTTGACCTTCTGGACTTCCTCCATCGCAGCCTCCCAGCTGGTGGTGAGGATCTCCGAAGCGAACTTACCCCATGTAGCCGAGGCGACCTTATCGTTATCCGTCGAAAGAACACGGAACTGATACAGGAGCTCTGCTGCATTACCGTAGCTGCCGCAGCTGTACTGGAACCGGCCGTAGTCGTAAAGGCTGTTGACCATTTCAATGGTCACTCCGTGCTGTTCCTCGAGGAACTTCAAGTTGGCGACCTTGTCGCTTCGCAGGTTGGCCACGACGCTCTCATCCTGCAGCAGCTGAGTGATCTTGGCGCTCTCCTCCTCGTACTGTTGCAACTTGGCGAGAACCTCCTCCCTCTTCTTCACGAACTCATCGGGAATGTCGTCGGAGTCGTTGATCTCCTTCCAGAGATTGGCAACATAGTCGGTCATGTTCGTGTGCTTCAAAAGCTCATACTTCGCACGGACAACTTCCTTCTCGTCATCTTGGCCCGAACTGAATTCAAGCAGAGGAAAGACGAGGTGACGGTCGAGGTAGGGGATCAACTTGGGAAGCAGGTTGTATTGGTTGGCGATTTCTTCAGCGGTCTTAGGAGGGTGGGCCGCGGCACCACTGAGAAGAGTCTCAGCGGAAGGGGGAACGTTGGCTGCCATGTTGGTGTAGGATGGACAGCAGGAAGAGAGGAAAGCGCGGGGTATATGAAGTGAGGAACAGCAGCGAGGACTGTGTTGAAGTCTCTCTCTGTCTCTTCTTTCGTCCCGTGCCAAAGTAAGTGTGCGGCGGTTTCTTTGCGCTGGCGAAAATGTGGGCGGGAGGGCTGGTGGGCGCGCTAGCCCTCTTTGGGACTAGCAACAGGTCTCCGCGCAAAACGCAAGAAATCGTATGTTGTAGGATGATGCTTGACATTTCTGTAGGACCTCTCTTCGATCGTACGTCGCGCTCACATCCCCTGTGATAGAACCCATTTGTGGTCGGGGCTCTTCATCACATCCACGCGTCGGGATTGCCAGAGTTTCATCCATTGCAGGCCCCCTTTTTCCATATCCGCAGCCGATGGCATCTTTCCTGCAGTCTCTGCCGGTCTGCTCGGCTGTTCGCAAGCAGTCGACTGCAGCTCCCCTCTTCCTCAATGCTTCACATTTTGTCGCTTCATCGAGGACATGTAGCCCTTTCTCCACATTATCTTCACAGACTAGATCGATCTCTTCTCGTAAGTCTCCGTCGAATCCGCCTGTCCCTTGCGTTTCCATCCATAAGCGAGCTATAGCAAAAACATGAACAGAAACAGAGAAGCAGATGTGGGAATAAGATTGGACGTGATCGTACTAACGTGTGTTACTGCAGTTCACTCATTGAGAACCGCTCAACAATCCAAATCAAAGCCTTCCGCCCATCAGTCTCGGACCTTCCTGGTTCAGCTCAAACGGCAATCCCAGACTTTGAAAGAAAACCCTTCCGCAACAACAGGAGCCGTTCCTCCTCCTGGTGCAAGCCTGCAACTCACAAACCTCCCATATTTCATTCGTCGCACAGCATCAAACCAACTCCCCGTATATCTCGTCACAAAAGCCGGTGGTACCAAGCAGCAGACCAAGATTCAGAAGACGGAAGGCGATCTAGAAGCATTGAGGAGCGACCTTGCACGGTATCTCGGTCTTGAAAGCGGCGACCCTCGCTCGCCAAAAAGCCCGGACGTCACTATCAACCGTCTCAATGGCCATATTATTGTCAAGGTATGCCCAGTGGATATACCTCGCGCGGTTCAGTACTGTCTTTCTGCTCTATCAATCCAATCGCTAATTGACACCACCATGTAGGGTTGGCGGAAGCCTGAGATTCAAAAGTTCCTTCTGGAGCGTAACTTCTAAGCAGTGACGTATCGGCTCTTTCAGCATGAACGATTACCTTTCCGTACCCTATATCTATCATCATCATCTACTCGATAATCGATTTCCGATTTACATATTCCACGAAAAAGAGCTATTTCAAGCTTCAGTTTCAAACGCACTACCAAAAGGACCGAAGAAGGGAAGTGAAATGTTGTTATGCGGAGGGAAGGGGCCCATGGAAAATGCAAGATGAACAGAACTGAATCTTTGATGGTTACATGAACGGGCTGCTTGTTTATCGCGTTTCACTGTCCTTGGATCGTCATTTCGTTTCATGACCCTGTTTGCATTGTACGATTCACTTGCTGGTGTCCGTGTTGCGGGTTTCTCATTGCTGTCATTGAAGGCTCTGGCTTCTGCTGTACTCTGGGGGTTGTTGTCCTCTTTCTATTCTTTCCGCGTCTGATCTCATCTCTGCCATTTCTCGGTTGTGTGGCTAGTTGTACTATTCACACTCTAGTACATGTCCAATAGTCCAGTCAAATCAGACGAAAAGACATATGCATCTGGAATTAATCAATTGACACATAAAAGCAGCTTCAGCATCTAGTATCCGTGAGAACTCAAGCGAGGCTCTTTATATATTCTACAGGGTCATTTCAGTTCCATGTTAGAGACGATGACCGATTTTCTTGCGGAGAAGCTTGTGGTCTCCTTTAATGTTAAGGGAAGAGAACCAGGCATATGTAGGTCATTACGAACGGAGAATGAATGTTTTGAGATGATGACAACGATGGTGTATTTACCCATATAGACATCATGAATGATTATTTTGCCCGAGGGTATTTTACAGTGATAGACAGAATGATACACAGTCACGCCCCACAATATTTCTCCCACCGGCGCCAAACAGATACACAAAGGGCATGGAACAGGTATGAGTGAGTCCTCATCGAGATCAGAAGAAGGCATGACGAGAATGAACAGAACTGGCTTTGTAAGATGGCAAGCCCGCTGCGGTCGCTTGAATATCCAAAAAAAAAAGGGAGTTTGAGGCTGGAAGAGAGCAAGAAGCGGAGGAGTATTCCATTAGGCTTAACACATTTCACTCGGCTAAACGAGCATAAGAGATCAGCTGCCGAACAACGCCAGGGTCAACATTGGGCATCAACAATGCACCAAGTAGGCTCTCTTTTTTCGGGATGATTCCAGATGGAAAATTCCGCGCGGAACTATTGTCAGCGAGTTTCGACTTCTCCGCTAGTCGACACAGGATTGTTAAACCTCGATTGATGATAGAACTATACGCGGAGGCCTCTGCCTCAGCCTGGCCTCGGGCAGCATGGGACTGGCGAGAATTGGTATTTGGGGGAGGGACACGTTCAGTGCTCAGCAAACATGAGAGTCGCAGAAGATGAATAGCGAACCCGTCGATCGATTCAAGCCATTGTTTGGCCAAGGTACCATCAGCAAACGAAGAAAGAATGTCGGCTGCCAATAATCCCTGCATTAGGAATACCTTGCGGGCGTCCGCTATGGCTAGATGTTTCCGCAGTTGATCGGGGACTGGACAAATAGCTAGTCCGAAAGCACGGGTCAGCAATTCATGCTGTGAACCGGGCGCTCCATCACCGGAGAATATTGCTTTAAAGAACGTCCTGTTGGGATCATCTCTGGCCAGGAGCTTAGCTAAGCTGTCGACGGCGGCGGGTGTGTATTTGTGAATCGAGGCGTTGTAGGACGTAAACATGACACCGTCTGGACCCAACGTTGGAGGAGGAAATGGAGCAAAAGACAAAAGAAAATGTAATAGACAAAGGGCCTCCTCTTTGCTTGGTAACTGAATCACATGTGCCAGATTGCTCAAATAGATGACAGCGTCCTTCATGAAATCCAGCGTGTTCTGATGGGCTCGAAGAAGCATGTTTCGAGTCCCTAAGTATCGGACAATGGTTGATATGAACTGTACAACGGGGGCAGTTGATAATAACCCAAAGTTCGATTCAGTGAAGGAAAGGTTTCGCAATATTGTGGTGACGCATATGAGTCTGTCAACAGCCCGATCGAGCTCATATTCAAGGCTTCCAAACTCAGGGACGTCGGCAAGAGAAGTCCATTCTGCCTGACATCCACGAGTAACCTCCTCGTACGAGGGCAGTAACATCACATCCGAAACCTCCACGGCGTGTTCAGCAAGCAGATCAGCTTGGTCCTCGGCACATTCGATTAAGCTATCAATCAAATCTTCGCAATTATCGAGCGAGATTTGGACGGCTGGTTCACAAGAGAGGGATACAAGAGTATCCAGCGCCAGGCGCATCTCCGCATGAATACCAGACTTGATGCTCATTGTGAGCGCGTGAATGTCAATAACGCCGAGCTCGGCAAAGGAAGGCACGTTTGGTTTCAACCTAGTTATTTCTTCTCCAAGCTGGTACATTTCGTCCAAAGCTATCGGACCGTGCAAGCTACTCTCCGGCAAAACCATTGGTTTGAAAGGATCTTGTATTGGACGTTTCAAAGGTTGATCAGAGGCTTGCTCGAATGTCTTCGCCGACTTTCCCGGCGTTGCTCCAAGAGGTTTTGTTGACTGAGCAGGGGACTGGTTTGGTAACTGGCCTGTAGAATCCTGCGGGGTTGCTGGAGGCTGAGACTGACGGGATACACTTAGTCGATGCTGTTGTTGTTTGTTCGACGCTTTGACTTGAGTCGGGGTCGCGAAGCCATTTGGAATGTTTTGCTGCGCATTGTTTGCTACCGACATGGTACCAGGAGAGGCACCAACTGGTTGAGGTACTTCGAACCCTTGGCCCTGTTTAACTGTTGGCGACTGAAACTGGAGAGCGGAGGGATCGCTTGGCTGTCGCGGCATTGAGTTTTGCTGCATTTGATCTGCAAACTGCTTCTGTTGCGTGCTGAGAAAAGCCTGTTCGTACGCAGCGAGGTTCCTTTGATAGTGCTCCCGAATCTCCTGTACAGCCATAGGAAATTGCATCGGAGGGAACTGAAGCTGTTGGGCTATTACAGGCCACATGTTTGCAGCGCTTACCTTCTTTGATCCACCCAGTTTCATGACGGTCGCATAGAGCTGGACCAAATTGATAGGGCGACCACAAACGATGGGATTCGGATCCAAAGGCAGATTGCGCGACATCATAAATTTCTGCAACGACCTCATAAAGCCCTCAGGATTGGGTGGTTTCGCCATATTTTGCTGCATTTGCCTGATGGCTGCCATTTGCTGAGGGTTTGCCATCGCGTTCATCCCCGCTGCCACGGGGCGCCCTGCCATCGCAGGATTCATATTCATAGGACGGCCTTGGTTCTGCATCTGCAACGCGTGCAGTCGCTGCTGTTGAGCGGCCATCGCTTGCTGATATTGCGGCATACTGCTAAAGTTTGCTTGCATGGGCGCTTGTACAGCAGCAGAAGTCATCGTAGGAGCGGGTGCAAATTGCGGGCCCATCCCTTGAGGGAAAGGCTGACCTGGGATAAATGAGCTGTTTTGCGGTGTGTTGACTCTACTTGGATGATCTGATTGCGACGGGGACATATGAGGGCCGACATGGGGGCCAGCGGGCGAGAACGGGCTAGGAGAGGCCGTTCCCAGTCTCTGCACACCGTGCTGGTCAAAGTCTTGCATAATGGGGGACTGAGTGACATTGGTCGGAGTCCCTTGCTGGAAATGTTGGTACGGCGCGGCATGGGAAGGGAATTGCTGGGCGCCATTCGCAGGCCCCTGGTAACCAGGGAAGGGCACTTGATGAGGCGTCTGAGATCGCGATACAGAAAGCCCACCAGGCGCTTGCCTGGGTGACATTGAGAGGCCATCCTCTGGTCGTGATCTCTTGGACGGAATCACCTGGTTAGGGTTGTGGAATCCGGGGGAGGCATTTCGCGGTACTCCATTGAACATGCGCTGGAACTGATTGGGGTCTGGCGGCGTGGGAGATGCATGGAGAAATGCCGTAGATGGATCTATTGTTGTTTGATTAAAGGCACCATTGTCATGGCTCTGGAGGTTCGAGGCGTCGGCTAGCCAGGCATTCATGTCGTGTGGTCTTACCAACCCATCTGTAAGGCGATGATCGTCAGCGAATGTGACACACGCACAAAACAGGCTTGGTCATCATTAATAAGCAACTATCGGTCTCGCGACGAAATCAACATTGAAATCAATGATGCAACAGATGAGGCAACTATTGACGAAAGTCATCACAGAAAGGGCAAGGTGGGGGGGGCGCTATAGACGCGTCGGGGGTTGTGGTTGAGTCGCGCTTTGAGTCTGCGACACGAGCATTTGAAAAGCAACGACCACACAGAACAGACGATCGGAAACATTCGACACAAGAGCTGCAAGTAATGAAGACACGGAACAAGATCGGTACTGAGGGAATAAAAATAGCGCAAAAGGTTTTGTACATACCGACAAGGCTGGATAACTTAGATGCCGACTCGTAAGCGTACGATTACACCGGTCCCGAAATAGCAGCGGTTGAGAGGCTTGAGATAGTGCAAGGAGGACAATGGGAAGTCACGGGATTCCAGGCGCCGGAGCTCAAAGGCAGAAAACAGGGATGGAACTGTCAATGAGGCTCAACCATCAGTGTAAGTAAAGAAGCAACTAAGCTATAACACCAGGATAAATAAATAAAAAACGGTAACAACAGAATACAAGAGTAATGATGACTTTAATCAATAAGACAAAATAATAAGCCAAAGAAGCGCTGGAACTATGAGCAGCACAGGATGGGGATTGCAACGTGTGTGACTGGTCCCGAAGAATGGCCAGATTGGATGGCCAGTAGTGCGTGGCGACACATGTGAAGTGTGCTCTGGACAAAGCAGGCACAATCCAATGGCATAAGACAAGTGGGTTTGGGTGGTCTAGTATTGAACGTACCAGATCCAAGTAAAGCAGTGCACAGGAGAGCCGTAATTTTATTTTATTTTAATGAAATTCCTTCCTGTATTTCGACGAGGGAAAGGGGGGCCGCGTGAAAAGGCAGACAAAGTGGAGGCGTGGGAAGACAGGAATG